CTACAAAGACTGTAGTTGCAGATCTGTTACGAGAGTTTTGCCTGGGGTTTCCTGTCAGTTTGGGGCAGCATACACCCTACACCTAGACCCTAAACAACCCTAAACCCTAAACCCTTAACCCTAAACCCCCCCACTCAACTTTTACCTACAGGGCTCTGGGTGACATACCGTGATCCCTTCCAAAAAAAACAAGATGACAAGCCCAAAAAGGAACTGCATACAGTAGAGTAGTTCCCAACTTGATTGGACTCTTTAAGTCTTTTGGTTATAGATTATATTACGGCACCTAATATTTAGGGGTATCAAAATGGGACCTAAATTTTTAAATTTTGGGAACTACTCAGTATCATAGGGACTTGGGAGGGTGTTGGGAAGGGATGTGTTGGGACCCATCTTCCCTTATTGAGGCTTGTTAAGGGCTTATTTGGGCTTAGTAAGGCCTTATCTAAGGAATATGGACCCCAACAGCCCCCTCCCCAACATCTCCCCAGTCCCTATGACAGTAGGGCTTCTGGGTAAATCCACGGGATGCCTGGCAAATCTTCTCCGCCAGCTTCGCAACGTCGACGCCCGAAACTGAGGGTCTGTCCTACGAGACTCAACGGGGTGTTAGGGTTGGGGGGTTCAGGGATTTAGGGTTTAGGGTCTTTGGGATTGAGGGCCATTAAGGGCTTATAAGAAGTGATGAAGGTAGGGTTTGGGGTCTCAGGATTCGGGGTTGAGGATGTTTTTCTTGGTCCACACATAAGCACACACTCTATGTGGGTATGTGTGCCAGTACGCGGCTCTTATGTGAAAGCCCCAAAATAACGGTTCCCGCTGAAAGTGCATGACTTGGAGAGACCATCAGGAATTCCCAAGTCACAAACCGTAAAATCATAGCCGCCTTTTGAGCAGCGTTCTTTTTTGGTGGTTGAACCTAGTAAGATTATATTCCTTATACAAATACTATACCCCAAAAGGAGGATATGATCTTACTCTATATAGGGTACCATAGTATCCCCAAATAAAATACTACTATTTTGAACCCAGTATGACCGACCCTCCTTCAGGAATACGAGCTTGGGTTCCTGCATAATCCTCTCCCCTAATGAGCAGTGGTGACATCCCCAGTATAAGCCCATTCATTCTGTAAGGGAGAGAACAATTACTTTTGGCATGGTGATTGGGGGTTCATATTAAATGTTCGGAGGAGGGAGTTAGGTAGTATTCTACGATGCTCCATGACTCACACTTACCATCTCACATGACAGTTACAAGGTGACCAACCAGGTGAGATGTGTTGGCCTCAAACCCTAAACCCTAAACCCTAAACCCTAAACAAGATTCAAGATTGAAATTCATGTCAGGTTGGGGTTTAGGTGGGGTTTAGGGTTTAGGGTTTAGGGTTTAGGTGTTTAGGGTTTAGGGTTTTTTTAGTTGTTTGCGGGTTGGACGTTATCCAAAGTTGAACGGGAGGCCTCGTGTACTCAACCCCCACTCCAGGGAACGCCAAAGCCCAAAACATGTCGAGTTGGGGGTTTAACCCTCATTACTCACAGTTGGGGTGTGTTGGTTGATTCCCCCTCATCATGTAGCGAAACATGAGGCGATGATGGCCTGTACTCATTTCAGTAAGCTACGGCTGTCTGAAAGTGAGCCTCAGAATGGTGGAACACCTTACTAATATTGCTCCCCAAGACTCTCAAACCTCCGCAGTAGAACCTTTCAAGACCCGCAAAGCCCTATGCAACGATGCCTTCTTACGTTGTGGCCCTAAATCCTAAACAGTACTTTCCGTTTTATTTACCGTTATCCCAAAATGGCCCCAATATTGCCCTAAACCCTAAATCCTAAATAGTAGCTTCCATTGTATTACCCCAATGGATGTGTATTCGCAACAGCCAATGCAGCTGCCCTAAGGGTCCAAGTTCCCAATAATCATTTACTTACCCAAAACCTGTACTATAAATACTAATACCCACAACCCAAGTACCTAAGGAATGGGTACTTGGACCCTAAACCCTAAAACCGTATCCCTAAACCCCATATACCCCTATATACCCCAATATATCCCTTTTAAAGGGGACCTAATTATTGGGTACTTGGATCCTTAGGGATATTCGTTCGGACTTTTGCACTCCAACCCTGGGCCTAAAAGCGTTAAGACCTCGAACCCCAATGCAGACCCGTGACTATGAAACCCCCCTCCTTTGACTAGGGTTTGGGGGGTTTAGGGTTTAGGGGTTTAGGGTTTGGGGGTTTAGGGTTTGGGGGTTTAGGTGTTCTTGTTGAAATACAATTGAAAAAGATCTTTTTATAGATATTGGGCCCAGGTATCCATAAAAAAAAAAAAAAAGAAATTTTGTTCCACGAGAGCCCAGTTAAGGGCCTTCATATGAGGATCCCTATTCCAAACCCCATTAAGGGGAAGGAGGTTCATAATCATGGGTCTGGGTCAAACCCTAACCCTAAACCCTAAATAAGCCCACTATAGTAGTTTCCATTTTCTTGTCCATTATGCTCATATCACGCCAACATAACTCCAATATTATCCCACTGGGTACCTAATACCAGTAATCTTATAATAGTTGGTCCCTATAACCCCATTATTTGGGTCCTTGGTCCCTTAGGGTCTGGGTTAAACCCAAACCCTAAACTCTAAACCCTAAACCCCAAACTCTAAACCCTAAACCCTTAAACTCTAAACCCTAAACCCTTAAATCCTTAACTCCGAAGTCTTTCCGGCTCCTCAGCTCGTTGAACGAGGCCTTTCCGCAGGGCGTCCAGGTCCTTCATACGGCCAGCATGGCAAACAAGAGGGGGATTTCTCAAACATAGGTGTACCATTTTGGGGGTTCAATTAATAAGGATTGTCGCATATTAGGGTCTAGCTTGGGGTACTAAAGCCTAAATCCTAAACCGCACCTAAACCCTAAACCCTAAACCCCGAACCCTAAACCCTAAACCCTAAACCCTACCCCGAACCCTAAACCCTAAACCGCAACCTTAAACCCTAAACCGCGTTACTTTAGGTTACATGCTTAGAGCCCGGGCAACTCGGGGGTTTCAGGGTAAACCCTGAGGGTCCAAGGACCCAAATACTAGGGCCCCTTTGAAGGGTTATAGGGGGATACGTAGTGATATATATGGGGACTATAAAGGGGTATATAGGACCCAAATAAAAGGGCTTTAGGGCTCAAATACTCCAATGTGAATGGTATCTGGGCCATAAAAACCCTGTTATTTGTGTCCTTGGACCCGGACCTCGGCATTTTAGGTTTCATGGTTCGAGCAGGGCCTACTTGTAATTATACTAATTATACTTCTAACCCACCTCTAGTAAGCACTTAAAAGCCTCCCCTAGTCCCCTTCTATGGTTCTAATTGGACTAAGTATACCCATGCTAATTCCTTTTCAATTACCCTGCATACCCAAATCGGAAGAATTCAGAAGGGGATCGAATCTGAAAGCTTGACAGACTGCCTAGCCCCCACAGCATGCCTGTAACCCAGTCATTCTTCACGGGCAGAGTGAATCCTCAAACCCCAGAACTGATGGAACCCAGCGCAGTCCTGGCTCAACTGTTGCACGGCCTGCGCACATCTCATCGTAAAGTTGATATGAGGGGGTTGTCGAAATACGAAATAATCGGAACGTTGTTATGTGCGTCCAAACACAGGCGCATACTCTTTTCCGTTGCCCATTTTCAAGTCAGGATACTAGTAAGTCAGTCCTGAGCGGGCTGCACAATTACAAGGGTTGGTGTCTGAAAGGCGAGAACCTTGACAGTTGTGATCTTTCACGGTTCACGGTTTAGGGTGGTTTACGTTTTTATTTCTTGAAATATGTTTTTTTTTGCAGTTCAGGTGCAGGATTTGACGCTGACGGCGGGACACTTGCGGCGTCCCATAAAACTCAGCCTTTTCAGGTGAAGAAACATGATCAAACAGGATCCCAGCCCACGCACAGTAGCTGTATAAAGGATTACGGAAACATTCGAGGATCTACTATATTCCTCGTAGCCACTATGAGTGGGTAGCGAGTTCGACCTAACGCACGATGCTCAAGCATGCAAGAGCTCATTTGGCAAGGGTCACATCAAGCTTCTGCTCCGCGCATTGTTCAACTTGTCCTGCAGTAATCCTTCCCCCCTTACGTTTCAAATCCTCCCCACACACATCGCAGCGCCAAATATTCCTATTGTGGCATGCTGCAATCTGTTGGGAACATCTAACATTAGGAGGTGTTAGGAGTTGAATATTTGGGATGGGATTAGTGAAGCTGTTCTCAATGTATGAGAACACGGCTACGCTGCAAACATGAGAGGAATCTCATCAGGGCTGTTTGGAAACACCAACCCTACAAACAAAGACCTTGTGATAGTATGACTGTACAGACCAATTTCCGGAGCCGTTATTCTGAGTGCAGACTGGAGTACTTACTCTGGGTGCAGAATTGGAGTACATCCTTCTTACCATCTGGAAAGCTCGCCTACATCCCTCCCAAAACTAGCACGGACGCCCAACAAGAGGCACTGCCAAAACGATTGTCCTCTCAAAAATAGCCTACGGGGGTTTGCTCTTCTTAGTTTACCACCAGCCCATGACTCCACTCCGCGATTGGCAGCGACGCACGATTGCATACGAGTATACCTCCATGCAGTGCGCCTGGAATGTACAAAGTGGATAACTTTCAAAAAAACTGGCCATCTGGAAGCTCCAAATCTTGACGTTCGCAGTTAACCCTTGAATCCCTGCTTAGTCGTTATCTGGCGAGCCACTTGCTAGTGTTCGTCTGCCAAAAGGGACGCCTTCTAAGCCATGAAGCCTTCATTAATTTTGTCACATCAAACAGGCAAGCAATACAGGGCCCAAAAGGCTACCACTGGTACGGTCCTGGAGACCCCTTGTATGATTATGGCATATGGAAAACCAGACCTCTGCACATTGTTGGTAGCTGTTTCGGCCCCTACAGTAGATCACCCTCTTTTCCGACGCTGTTCGTAGGAAGGAAGCCGCCACAGCGGCAGCAGAAGAGCGGAAATCGCCGCGGAGCCCAGGGCCATGGTGGCCCTCCAGGCGTTCCATCCGAAAGGCCCCTGGATAAGCCAACCTCAGAAGAGCTTGGAGTTTTAAGGTCTGAGGGTTGAAGGCTTTGAGGATTTAGGGTTTTTGTGTGCGTGTGGGTGCTTTTGTTGGGAGGGGGGTTTTGGGTTTCAGGGCTTCAAAGTTTGATTTTGCAGGGCAGAAGGCTGAATAGCTGCCAACTCAGGGGTCCACATGAGCCATAGTCTAAACTCCTAGGATCTCACCTAATAACCCCTATAATAGTCCCCCTATATAATCCCCTTTAAGGAGTTTAGACTACAGCTCACATGAAGGATGTGCAAGCCAGAAGACATTTGGAAGACTGTTCTCTTGAAGTCCACTAAAAGCTTCAAGTACACCCTGAGAACACCCCAGGGCTGGTAAAGCAAGATGGTAATAAATTCATCTCCCCCTAATAATGAACCCCCCCACCCCCTTACAACCCTTCGTCGTATCTGAACCCCATACGTGATTCCTAAACCAGGAGCACCATCCGTAAAGCAACATCCGACAGGTCTATACCCGTAAGCTCGAAAATCTATGGACCTCAAGATGATGGCCTAAACCCTCATTAACCATGTCATATTGGACCCTAGATCCTACATCCTACACCGGATTCCGCGCATTATATGGGCAGGCGCCATAATTTGATTCACAACCCAAAGGGGCCCATATTTTTGAAAATAAGCCCTAAACCCTAAACCCATATCCTTCATCCCAGCAGCCTACCTGCACCCCAACAAGCCCTCTCTTGTTGCGTTTACGTCTGCTGTTTTTTGGGGGGTTGCCCCCGTAACCTATAGGAATAAAAGGGGACCGCTTTTTGTGTATAGCTTACTTCTATACAGATCTTAGGACCCCAAAACGGAAATAGGGCTCACTCGACAGCCTGGCTTTAGTATGTATAACTTAGGTGGACCCCTCACCCAGTAATAGTGACTCAGATAGTAGTAACTACATATTAGGATCCTCTTATAGTCCTATTATTACAGGGTGGGGGGTCCTCCTCATGTATAAACCTGAAATGATGGGCCGCTTAAGCTGCAGGTAGCCGCTAAGAAGCCCAAATCCGCAACTCTGGGAGCTGAAGCCGAAGTCTGAAATCAGGGGTTTATACAGGGTGTAGGGTTCAGGATTTTAGGGTCTAGGGTTTAGGATTTCAGGGTTTTGGGTTTAGGGACATGAACCCCCCAAAATCGTAAACCGAACACTCCTAACTCGAAAACACCATACACCCAAATGCTCAGCCACATAACCCTACCAAGCGCAGCCTTGCAACTTAGCGGAAGGCCTGCAGTTGCAGCGCCTGAGCAAGGAATTGCCTTTAACCAATATCTAGAGTGCTCAAATACCCATAGTAGCCTACCCTTATGTACACATCATTCTGGGGTCAAGGCATGTCATCTTAGTCATTTGGGACCCTTGCACCTAACTTTGAACATACCCAGCTACGATAGAAAATACGGGGGTGCGGGAGTGTTCCATAGTAGGGGAAGGCATCAGCATCAAAATTAGCAGCGTCAGCAATCGTAATTGCAAGAACACTAGCAGAAGTAACGTTGTTGGCTAAGGGCCTCATAAACAATGGTTTCAGGATTGACGCCTGACTGCCAGAGAATGAGGGAGCGCGCTATTCTGTGAGTTGTAGAGGGCATGCAGAAGTGCTTTGGATGTTCAAGGTGAGCTTTTTGTCGGGTGTCAATGCAGGGAGTACGGAATTCTGGGGTTCGAGCCTTGGCGCTACAGGCTGTCGATTGGACGATGAATTCTAAATCACTGTTTAGGTCTTTCGTTCTGCGTCCTTCTGGGAATTCTTCTCGACCTGCACACGCCTTTCAGAATCACGCCCCTGAAAATGCAATCATCGACTTCATCTAAGAACAAAGGAAGAGCTAGCCTCAAGGGCCATCCTTGTTCGTTCTTCCAGGTGGACCTATTACGAAACTCCAGCGCAATATCTACAATAGCATTTCTCACAGTTCTTAACTTGGGTGTTTGGCTACTGAGGGTCCCATGTAACACCATGACATGCCCCAACTCTGAGACACCTGAATCCCTGACACCTTTCGCGCCCCAGGTAGAAAGAGGTTATATGAGCTGTAATCTTAACTCCTTACAGGGGTTCTATACGGGACTGTATATGGGACTATTATAGGGATTATTGAGGGGGATACTAGGAGTTTTGACTATAGCTCATATAAACGACATGAAGCCCAATGATCGCCCAACACTGACTCATACTTTAAAGGCCGCCCCCACAAACCTCCCCCTTTACATGGAGAAGCCCAACCATGTAAATCCATATTCTCCTCAGCAACCCTGGCCGATAGGGTTCAGGGCTTGGGGTTCAGGGTTTAGGGGTTAGAAGTTTGTGGTTTAGGGCTGCGAGACACCCCAAGCCGGCGCAAGGCCTAAACCTGAGACCGTGTTAACTTAACCCCCAAATTTTAATCCAGAACCACGTAATCCAAAATCCTGAACCTCTGAACCCAACAAGTCCCAAATCGTAAAATTCCTAGGCTCTAAACTCTGAATCCCAGAACTCTAACACCTGCATGGCTTAGAAGCTCCCCACCTGTGTAGGCCGCCCAGCCCAGCAGACCCTGCGAGACGCCTGCAGCAAATCACAAAATACTGCTGTAATTTATGTGTGTATACATGACAAGATGAAATACTCTTCTGGTGAAAACTGCAAGGCATTACCTGTAAAAAATTAGTCTGTATATTATACATCATGCTGCGTTTCAGTGGCTAGAGGTTACTACCTCCCAAAACCCCAAACCCAAAAAACTTGGGTTTCCCATACTTAGCACCTGCAGCCCGAGCCGACACGGATTCCAGCCCACACAGTGCCGAAAGCGCCTGAAGAACAGGACCGGGAGACCCTACGGTTTGGGTTTCAGGGTGAAGGTTTAGGGTTTACGGTTCAGGGATTAATGGTTTGGTGTATTCTCTTGGAAGTGTGACATTGTATGAGGGCATGAGAAAGATAGCGCCTTTTTGTGGCACATGGTGATTTCCGAAAACTTGGAGCCCTTTTTGGAAGCCCCTATGGCTCTTTGGTCAGGATTACGGTGTCCAGCCGTCAATATTCAGGCTGCGCCTTTTGAGAAGCCTCTGCATGGGCATAGCTCATCTTAGTTGCCACGGGCCATCAAAACAAAAACAATGTGGTTAAGGTTGGGGTTCCGAAGCCCATAGTTGCTTCCAACTTTTGGTGGTTAACCCAAGTAAGCTAATGATCTTCTTACCGGATACAATATGTAAACCGCGCGTAATGGTACTCTATATTGTGGACCATCGTACCCCCAAACAAAATATGGCTTACTCTTGTGTTCTTTGCTAGTTTAGGATGCCGAAGGCTGAGTCAGTGTGGTGGGGCTCGTGACGGCTAAAACCTGAACTAGCTTCAAATGGAGTCCAGGTGATGCTTCAGAGTTATGGGCTGCTTCAGGGTGCCATGTTTACCAAGGGCGACGTTTTTTGATCCCTAACAGTAGGCTTATTCAAACTAGTCCATGAATTCCCATGAATTTCTGAAGCAGTCTCGCTTTGCGTTCGCTGCACAACAAGCTAGCCACAAATCTAGACCCCAACCGTCCTGCGCTGTGTAGAGCCCGAAGCCACCAGCAAACATAGCTGCGAAGTGAAGTCCTGGGCGTTTGTAACCTATAAGGGTCCAAGGACCCAACTAATAAGGCTTTAAGGCCCAAATACCATTCACATTCTAATATTTGGGCCCTAAAACCCTATTATTTGGGCCCTATATACCTCTATATAGTCCCCATATATCCCTATGTATCCCCCTACAACCCCCTTTAAAGGGACCCTACTATTTGGGTCCTTGGACCCATATAGAAACCTAGCAAGCACTTGAGCTGGGGTTGAAGCCTTGGGGCTTCAGATCTTGGGTTTTAAATTTAGGGTTTGGGGTTTAGGGTTTAGGGTTTGGGGTTTAGGGTTTAGGGCTCGAGCGTACTTTAGGGCTTTAGGATGCCAGGGCTTAGGATTAGAAACCCTATAGGGATTAATGTTAAGGATTTAGGATTTAGGGCTTAAGGCTCCGGATCTATGAGCAATACCTACATTGGGCCATAAAGTTGCACCTACCTCGGGCTGTTTGGAGACAGGGGATATGGCAACTACGTTGTGGAATCATATTCAGAAACCTGGAAGGCGGATAGGGGGTTTCTACACTCACTGGTTGAAAAAAGGAATGTTTAGGGTGTAGGGGTTAATCAGAGAAAGAAAGCTGCCGGCTAACAATCCGCAAGAGGGGGTCCTAAAGGCTTCCACAGAGATCATCTATCTAGGGTTGAGGCTTAGGGTCCTCATAATATATTCCTAATATACCACTATTAGTGAGTGGGGGCCCAACCCAATCCATACAGATTATCTATCTCGGGGTTATAGGCTTTCGAAAAAAACCGCCCAAGAGTCTGGGAGCTTGGCTCAAGAAGGCGAGCACCAGGGCTGCTGGTAGCAGGATGCAGGTGACAGCAACAACAGCAACCTGGCCATCATTCCACAAAAAGAAACGTTGATACCAACATATTGCGTGACTCTGGGTACCCTAAACTTCGTGAGTTGGGAGGGGTATGAATAGTAGGATCCCTTTCATCCAGGATTGTGTACCAAGTTGTTCATCCCCATTCTGCGCCTTTCTGTGTTAGGGAGGGAGGGGGATGCCTTCTGGTGAAGGCGACATAGGGGATTATATAGGGATAATGGAAAAGAAAATGGAAACTACTATAGTATGTTGGGGTTGTATGGTGATAATGGAAACGAAAATGGAAACTTCTGTGGTATATTGGGGTTGTATAGGGATATTGGAAAAGAACATGGAATTTCGTAGATTCAGAGACAGCCCGCGCCTGAATTCGGCAGCCGACGAGGGATGATTCCTTGCCCCGGCGTTGCCACCAAAAGTCGCTGATGGAGCCAGAGAAGACCTAGGTTATGGTCGAAGCTCTGTTGACCTAAATCCTAAAACCACAACTTTAGGATGAAATTTTTGTTTACCGGACCTTGAGGGTTTACGGTTAAGGTCATAACTTTAGGGTTTAGTCTAGGTTCCCCAGTAAACCCTAAATGATAAGGGTACACTTTTTCCGACTGTGCTGGTTTAAGAAGGAGACCCCCAAACAAAAAGGGTAAAACGGCACTACTGGGGTACCTAGTAACTTTAAGGTTTAGGTTTTTTAGCGGACATTCCGGGTTTAGGCTCTCAAGGCTTTATACTAGCAAAACCTTTCACAAGAACACCCTGGAAGTAATTTTCAGCGAGGGAACAGGAGCCGTGATTTAGAAAACACCACTCCCCATGCAGAGGTCCATAATAAGAACAATGCTAGTAGGGAGAAACAAACGGTATACCAAGATGACTGATCTTCTAGAACAGGGGCTCAAAACTCAGGGACTTAGATCTTTATCCCTTCGGATCTTGAACACCACCCGCGCAGCATTTACTGAAGCCCAACCTCTGACCCCTGGACTATGTTTTTCTGAGCAGGTCACCCGATACCCTCAATACATATCCCCATGTAGGTCCCCCCAACCTAAATTTCCAAATTAGGGTACTCTTTTGGGGGGTCCCTATAACAAGGTATAGTATATTAGGGTCTATATCGGGGTCCCCCTATTTGGGGAATTTACCAAATACCTTTTTTTCACTCCCCCACTCCCCCTTGAGCACCATAACCCTAAACCCGAAACTACCCTAAAACCTAAACCCTAAACCCCTAAACCCTAAACCCAAGTTCCGGGAGACGCTCCCCAGCAGCCCACCAAACTCGAAGGCGCTGAGGTAGGGCGCTGCAGCCCGAGTGGAGCCTAGGTTTAGGGTTTAGGGTTTAGGGTTGCGGGTTTAGGTTCCCCAGTAAACCCTAAAT